GTTGTAGCAAAGCACCCTGAACATCGCCCCACATTTTGTTTTGCTTTTGGTAATATCAGGAAAGTTAATGTGACAGGTCAGAGTCAGAATTTCCATTCTGGTGAGGAAGGTGGAAGGTGGAGAGCAATGATGAAGCATCCCCCATCCCTCATCCCTTCTCGTCCAGGATGCTGTGGTAAAAGCTAGTGGAAGCCCAAGCTTCCTCCCCGACCATCCACAATGAGATGCTCTCTAACTGTAGAGATTAAATAAAGAAGACTAGTGATAAACTGAAACTTAGATCTATCCCTGTAATAATGAGTTGTTTTCCTGCCCACTAGCTCAGTGTAAAAGAGAAAAATAAGACCTTTAAGTGAGCTTCAGAGCCTGCATTGAGAAAACAATCAATAGATGCCAGCACTGAGATGAAATAGACTTTGGACCTGTCTGCCAAGAATTTTCAAGCATTCCCATAAAAATACTTCAGTAAGCAATTACAAACATACTTGAAAGACCCATTTTTTAAGTCCCAGAAAAAAAGTTCTCATTGAAAAAAATGAAGCATAAAGAAGAACAAACTGGAAAAATATAACAGAAAAAAAAAACTCCAGAGAACAGGCTTAGCATTATAATAGAGAGGAATGAATTAGTGTATGTGATAGTAGAAGAAAAAAAATTGTCAATGAGCAAATAAACGATTCTTTTGACTAGACAGTGTACATGTTTAAAGGATTAAGTTTCAGGCTTTGATTTATTCCTCACCGTATGCCCTGGGCCTTATTCTTTTGTTTCCATCATTTTTCTGATGTTAAAATGAGTTCTCTGGTTACTCTATCTAGCTAAAAATCCAATGGTTCTTGAACATTTGCTAGTATTTTCATTCATTGATTCATTTATCTATTACTTAATATGGCAAGTGCTGAAGTGAAATCCTGAGTCTACAAGGAGAACATGACCTAGACCTACTCAAGTAGCTTGCAGTGCAAGTAAGAACATAAGTAAGATGAACAATTGTTACTATAGTGTGACATGGTAAGACGTGAGTTCAGGACTGTGGTGCTGCTTGAGAGAAGGTGAGTGGTAGAGATGAGGGGTGGTCGGTATAAACTGAAATCAGAACAGCACATTTTGTAATTCAGTTATCCCCATAGTGTGTGAAGTTGGATGAGTGATGCGTACGTGAATGAGTTTTTGTTATCTAAATTGTTTTTATCCTGAATTCTAAGGATCTATATTGACCAATAGATATAATATTTACATTAAGATGTTTTTAGTAGTGAAGGGACTTGGCTTGAGAGGATGTAGTTTTTGTGTTTTCAGAAAGATTGGTTAGGATATGGTCTTTGAATATCAGGTGATCAGTGAGATTGCAGGGACAGTAAAGGCAGATGTGGTATGTGTAACTGATTGGATGTGGAAATGGGGAGCCAAAAATTTGCCTTTGGTTGTCTAATTCAAGCCACTGCTTGCAACATGATTCCTTGAAATACAAAAGGGGGAAGTGACTACAGTTTGGGACATATGAGTCTTTTCAAATAGAGGAGTTCATCAGACTCTTGGCTACAAGTATGTGGAGCTCAGAAAAGAGATCAGTGCTTCAGATAAAGTGGAGATTGAAATTGTTGGAGCATAGAGATCACTCAGGGAAAGCATGTAGCACAACAAAAACATGCATGTAGCATGAGGTGGTTTACAGCCATAGATGGAGACATAGATGTTACAAAAGAGATTGGTAATGATAAGGTGAATTCTCCCTGAATCTTGGTGATCAAGGGACCTTCTTTTGTGAATTATCATGAATGAATTTTAATGTTGAATTCAAAGGCTGCAAGAGTACAAGTTGTAGATAGATGAAAAAAGAGGATAATGATAAGATCAAGAAATATTCTGGAAAATACATAGTCCATGTATCCTGAATAGGTTTTTTTCAGAATAAAAGCTAGGAACTCAGAACTTTCGTAGGTTCCCCCGTGGATGCAGGATCCCAAGCACTTGGGCTGACTTCTTCATGTTTCACAGTTATATTAGCAGGAACCTGGCTGGAAAGTGGAGCAAGTGAGACTTAAGTGGAGCCAATATGTGATGCTGGAGTCCCAGGTAGTTTGTTAACCCTCTATACCACAATGTTGGCCCCATAATAAGTGTGTGTGTGTGTGTGTGTGTGTGTGTGTGTGTGTGTTCAGGAAAATCCTAAAGAACATCTTTCCTGAACACCCCTATTAGTTTGGAGCTTCTGCTGGTGAGCATGAAAACCAGAGCTGGGGGTGACAGTATCCACTGGCATTCATGTGGGTTGGGCTAAGCTGGGCTGGGCCAGTCTGCAGTATTCACCGGCAGGTGTAAGAGCCAGGGCAGGGTGCAGGCTGGGTTGGTTTGGCCCACAAAACATGCCAGTTCACATGAGAGCCAGGACTAGGGGCTGGGCATGCTGGGCTAGGCTGCAGGACTTCTCAGTATAAGCTGAAACTTCGGGCAGCCAGTTAAAACCAGGCTGTAGCACCTGCCATCACACGCAAGATCCAGGGCTAGGGTCAGGCCTGATAGGGGACTTCAGGGACTTCCCTGCTAGGCCATTGCTCCCACTGGTGAGCATGGGAGCCGAGACTGGTGACACACTAAGCTGAGCAAGTCTACAACACCAGTCAGTCTGCAAAAGAGTTGAGTTTATGAAAGGGCAGGGCTAGGCTAAGCCACTGCATTCACTGGCACATGCAAGAACAAGTTTAAGCATTGGTTAGCTCAGCTTTGCAACAGCATCTGCTGGAAAATTTCAGGACTGGGTTCAAATCCTATTAGGCTGGACCACAGTACTCCCTGGCAAGTGCCAGATCCAGGGCTGGGAGTGGGCCTAGTGGAGGAGCTGTGGGCACTAGTGGATCTCCCCAGCTAGGCTGAAGTTCCTGCTGATGTATCTAAGGGCTGAATTTCTGGGTGACTGGATTGGTCTAGGCTATTGCACCTGTTGGTTTGTGTGGGTGCTGGTGCTAAAGGCAGAGCTGACCAGGCAGCTGCATTCACTGGTGTGTACATGGGCTGATGCTGGTGGTAGACTGAACTCGACCCTACAGTAGCCAGTGCATACACGAGTCTGGTCTGGAGTCACCCTAGATGAAATTTCTTTAGGGGACTTCCTAATTGGAATGTTAGACTCAAATTCTGGCTGCAGGGAAAATCACAGAATATGTGGTCCAACCTTGGACTGCATGTATTGGGACTGGGCCTCCTCAGTTGTTGTGGACAGCATGCCCACAGGCAACATGCTGGCCAGCTCATCTAGGCCAGCAGAAGATGAGTGCCTTGTAACAGATTTGATAACTCTCCAGACCAAGCTTTGGCAGCACGTGTCTGAGTGATGTCCCAGCCCCCTTCCTCTACATCTCTGCAACTCAACTCTCCCCATGCTCATCAGTGGGTCACCTGGACATACATCCTTCTCAAATATATAAACAACATTGAAAACAAATGTTAAGCAAACTATCTTCTTGTAGTCTATTATTTGTGGTGATAGTAGTACAGCTTCATGATATATCACAAAAAGTATACACAAAATAAAGCAGTTATCATTTACTTTCATGTGTCTGAAGATTCTGCTGGGGTTAACTGGTCTGGTTGAACATGAGTGGAAGTATAGAGTGTATCTGGCCAGTGTAGTAGTCTTGTTTCTTTTGATCTGCTTATAACTATAGATACTCATCCTGGGTTTCATGCTGAGATGGCAAATTATGTCTGGGAAGCTTTTCTCCTGGAGAAGGGCGGAAGGTAGAGAGGCAGAAAGAGCAAGCCCAGTTATACACATGATTCCTAAGCCTCTGTTTGCATTATATCTGTTGACACAGTGTTAGTCCATTCAGTATGAGTGTGTGAATGAGTCTCAAATCAAGAAATTCTTCACTTGTGGAACACAGGGAAAGGGAAGGAAGTGAACTTTTTTTTTGAAGATACACCAAATCCATTGCATTTGCAAGTTCATAATCATTGCATTAATTACATTTTGTACTATGCTGTAGGTAGTTGGATTCGGTGTTAGCAGTGGATAGGGTCATTCAGTCTTGAATCTTTCCTCCTGCTGGCTTCTGTATCAATTATTTCTTAATGCATTGCCTTTATCTTTTGGTCCTTTGAATTTGCTACTTCATTTCACACAAGTCTGGGTGATGACCTGCAAGTGACACTAAAATATTGGAAATATTGGAAAGCTGTTTAACAGGACATTCTTGATTTCAGTATTTTTTTCTTACTAATTTGCATTGTTTTCATTTGGGTACTCTGAGGTTGGGAGAAATGGACCTTTTCAAGTTGCTTATTTTATTTAAATCCCCTCTATGAAAAGTGGCCAATGCAAAATGCCTTATAAGAAAAATATAGCTATATTTTCTTTCAGTATCTGTATGTGTCTACATGATGCCTGTATTTTCAAAGGCAATTCATCAAGCAAGGAATAAATACTGAGTTGCAAAGATTTTAAAAAACTAACATTTTTATGTGCGTGGCCATTCTTTATTCAAATTGTAAAGCAATACAGGCAAAAAGGGACTTATGCAGTTAAAAGTTGCACATTTAATTGAAACAAAGATATGTACAGCTCTCTTAAGGAAGAACTGAATTTTCTGTTAAGTTTGTTTGCAGCCTGTACCAACATTTCATTCATGTATCTACCATTTAGCCTTTCCCCATCTCAAATGCCTCTCTTTTACACTTGCATATGATTCATTTCATCCATGTAAAGTAGGTTATTTTGCTCTTTTCTCTAGTTTCATCTCAAGGAATAAATTCTGTGAAATTGCCTGTTTAAAGTGTGAGGTGTATTTTTTTCTAGTGGATATCAAAATACTTACATATGCATTTATTTAAAAAATGTGTACCTTGTATCTTAAATGTTTATTTTGTAGCCATTGTTACCTGTCATAGCATTCACTGGGAATGCTGTTTTAAGGACAGTTCTGTCAAACTGGAAGTATAGTAACTTGGTTAAGCAACTCTACTTTAGAAACTATTATTTTTGACTTTCCAATATTTTCTAGGTTTGTGGAAGGAATGCTTAACATTTGCTACAATGCCATTGACCGTCACATTGAAAATGGTGAAGGGGACAAGATTGCGATCATCTATGACAGTCCTGTTACAAACACGAAAGCAGCTATTACCTATAAGGAAGTCCTGGAGCAGGTAATATCAGAAGTTTTCTATCATGGGAGTCATATGGAAATTACTTGAATAGAAAGTATTTTCATTATATAGATTTTGATTCTCTAAATGCCTTGTTATGCTACTATGCTTTTATTGTATATGGGAAATAAATATGATGGATAAGCATTTTAGGCTGGTTTTTGCATTTTACAGTACTGAAAGATGCTCTTGTTACAGAAAAATGTAACTAAGTCTCATGAGCATGACTAAATTCTGTGGTTTCCATGCACATGTTCATCACCTCCATCCAGCTGCTCCTGACTCTCATCCTTTTGAAGCAGTCTTCTAAGTGCCTTTCTTGTTACTTGTCTTGGTTCATGCACATTATCACCTAAAAGAACTACAGAGGTTCCTTCCTAAAGAACCTCTTTAAGGAACCTTCCTCTGTGCCTACATATAAACCTTCCTATTAAAAACTGCTAGTATTCAAAAGCATAATATTCAGACTTTGGTGATATATGTCACTTCAGAAACCGATCACAGCATCCCTCTTCAGTGTTAAACATTCTTGGTAATGCACATGACTATTTTTCACCCCGGGCAGGCTGTCCGTTCCTCAGACTTTACTGATCCTCTGTGTAGGATTATTCATTTGGCTTATTTGCTCTTTTCAAGTTATTTCCCTTACATGGAGCTTATAGATGGATCGTGAAATTGACATGCAAATTATGAGTTGAATCTTTTATTTTCTTATTTTATTTTGATAATCTTTACATAGTTGATTAGGGCACAAAGGGTCAAGGGTTGCAGGAAGTGGGTAAGACCATAGTTTCCGCATTGTTTTGGTATGTGTATCTAGGGTAAAGAGGGAGATAAAGGGAGGAGTCGTACCCAACCTCCAACCCCATCCCAGGATCCCCAACATGGGGCCTGCTATGAGGGCACTGCTCAAGTGGTTTTGATAGTTCAACAGTTCTGAATTGCTGCCAATGTCGCCATTCAAAGCATGGTGAATTCTCTCCAGAATCCATTGCCTGACATAGCCCACCTTAGAGTCTCTGTTTGCCTAGATCTTCACTACCAACACATGGCTGGTGCAAATGATCTGTTTGTTCTATCCTCCATCCTCTGTTGAGGTACCGGGTGTCCTCTGCATGTTCCGATGGACCACCATTTCCTCCATGTGCACTTGGATATGCTGTCTACTGTTCTATCTGGGGGAATCTTTTCGTTTAACGCTGGGATATAAATAAAGGTTTTTATTTTTTTTTTCACCCTAAACAGCCAGTTTATTTGAAAGGTAGAATTATACAGAAGGAGGAATAGGCAATGAGAGAAAAGGGAGGGAGAGAGAGAGAGGGAGGGAAAGAGGGAGAGAGAGAGGGAGTGAGGGAAAGAGGGAGGGAGGGAGGGAAGGAAGGAGGGAGGGAGGGAGTGAGAATTAATGAATGAATATTAGATTCACTGATTCATTCCCCCAAATGATTGCAGTGGAGGAGATGGACCAGCTGGAAGCCAGGAGATAAGAATTCTCTCCAGGTCTTCCACATGGGTGGTAGGGGTGATCCTTTACAGATGATCATTTGCTTTCTTTATTTATGCTTTTTAAGTTGTGTCCCTTTATATATTGTTGTATCAACATCAGAGTTATGAGATTCTTTTTTATTTAACACTGGAATAGATATAAATTGTTTTTTTATTTTACAAATAACTATTTTTAAATTTATCTTTAAATTTGTAATGCATTTACAGAGAGAGAATGAGAGACAGACAGATCTTCCATCTACTTGTCCACTCCCCAAATGGCCACAATGGCTCCCGCAGGGCTGATCCAAAACTGTGAGCTAGGAGTTTCTTCTGGGTCTCCCACATGGGTGCAGGAACTCAACGGTTTGGGGCTATCTCTGCTGCTGTTCCAGTGGGAGCTGGATTGGAAATGGAGCTGCCAGGACTGGAACCACAGAATTGTTGCAAATGCAAGACAAAGAACTGATAAGTTCATGATAAAGGAAGACTCAAGGACCACACTTAGAACAGGATGACAGAGCATGTGGGAGAAGGGGCGGTAGAGTTAGGAATCCCCAGGTTGTCAGCTAATTGAGCTGACTGTTTTGAATCCATTTTTGTAGAGTGACACAGTGGGAACATTTAGTTTGCCAAACTTAGGTTGCATGGCAGGCTACCAGGAAGTGGGGAGGAAATCCCTTGCCTTTAATTTTTGTTTTGAGTAGAAATTGAGGTCCTGCTTTTTTCTAAGAGTCCCAGAGAATTTAATTCTAATAATACTGGAATTTTTATTAATGTTTTCTAATATTTGAAAGGCAGGGTTAGAGAGTGAGAGATCTTTAATCTGCTGATTCATTCCTCATATGTCCACGAAGTCTGAGGTTGGGCTAAAAATTTCAGCTTTTAGAAGAGATTTAGTCTATGATTCAAAACTACTGAATTGTGCTGAAGGTAACGAATTAGCTTGCCACCCTGCTGGCCCTGGAAAAACGTTTCCTATGATTCATCTGTCAATATAATTCCTCTAAGAATTACTTAAAGGAGAAACAAATGAAAAACAATTAAAATAAGGGCAAATTTAATTGATGTACAGATTATAAGGCTTATATGTTATAAAAATATTTATTTATGTCAGCATTGGATTTCGATACCTTTATTGGAGTCTAACAGGCTTTGCACTTGTATTATGTAAAGTTTCATTAGGGAGAATGGTTAATGTTCTTATTTTCTGCTTTTAATTAGCTCATTAATAAGTGTAAAAGATCATTTACATTCCTAGGTTTTGCACAGAAGCCTGTCTGCTAACTTGTCTTGATTTTTCTAATTTTGAGTCTAGGCTCTGAGATTTTGACCTTTGTACTCATTCACTGGTTTCAGGTTAGCCCGACATCCACATGCATAAGGGCATGGTTCTCCCACCCTGCTGACGGCCTCTGATTCCCTAGGCTTCTGGAAAGCTTAAAAAATGAACTGTTCAGAAAGAGAGGGGTATTCCTTTGATTACCTGCTTCTGATTCCTCTGTGACCTTTATTAAGCAGAGAAGACAGAGAAAGAAAGATTTAATAGGCAGTGCCATGGAGAACAAACAAAATGTCCTTTCGTCCATTACCTAATCGCCTGTTTCTATTGGGAATTTATTCTAGATAGGTAAAACTTAATTAAGTTAGTTAATGTGCCTCTTTAGAGAAGCAGTTAATTTTAGGCTGAGTTGTCGTAGTGATTTGGAAGATTTAAAACTTTACAGAATGATTCAGAATGAGAGCTTTGCTAAATAAAAGTGTTGTCATTGATGTAGATGAGAATATTCTGAGGCACTCTTTGCTAAGGCTTTTATTAAAACAATTGTGCTCCTTTCAAGATTTATCACTTATCTAACAAGTTTTTTGCTCTGCATACCAAATCTTGTTAGGAACAAAGGACACTAGATAAATGAGCCTGTTGGCTATTGTCAGGGAGTCAGAAAAAATGTAAATTGGCAATTTCAGTATGGAATGAGGGTGTTTCTTGGCTTCTGTGAGAAACAGGAAAAGGACCAACTCCATCATGGGGAAAGATGGAGTCTCGGTGGCTATGGAAGGGTCAGTGTCTAAAGTTAGCAGAATTGGCTACCTTCTGTTTGAAGTATCTTTTTACCCAGATGTCTTATGGTACATGTTACCCAGATATTGTTTTCTCAATGAGATTATAGCTGACTTTGTTAAATACAAATGTTCTTACCCACATCACTTTATGTCTCCTTTGTCTGCCTCCTTTTTAAATTTAGCTTCTATTCAGTCCTGTTGTTAGGGTTTTACTAACCTGTCATCTTTAGTGTTACTTCCTATCCTTAGAAGTTTTATTAAGGTAGAGGTTCTTTTTTTTTTTTAACTTTTTTTTAAAGATTTAATTTTTTTTTTTATTGGAAAGGCAGATATACAAAGAGGAGGAGAGACAGAGAGGAAGATCTTCTGTCCGATGGTTCACTCCCCAAGTGATTGCAATGGCTGCAGCTGAGCCAATCTGAAGCCAGGAGCCAGGAGCTCTTCCAGGTCTCCCACACGGGTACAGGGTCCGAATGCTTTCGGCTGTCCTCGACTGCTTTCCCAGGCCACAAGCAGGGAGCTGGATGGGAAGTGGAGCTGCCGGGATTAGAACTGGTACCCATATGGGGTCCTGGTGCATGCAAGGCAAGGACTTGAACCACTACACTATCATACCAGGCCCGGTAGAGGTTCTTGTTTTGCTTATAGGACAGTATAGTTATATTTGAAAGGCAAATTTCCCTTTGTTATTCTCCTAACCCCAGATACAGGGAAAAATGATATTAGCGTGGACACAATGGTATTACCCACTTTCACCCTGTAGCCCTTGACCCTTTGTACCCTAATCAACTAAGATTGTTAAAATTAAAAAAAAATAAGGGAGGAAATAAACCAAATAGAGACCAAGACAATGGTACATTAAAAAAATTCATTTATTTTAAATGATCTTACTTAGTTGATTCGGGTACAAAGGGTCAAGGGCTACAGGAAAGTGGGTAATACCATTGTTTCCACACTGATAGAAGTTTTTCCCCTGTGTCTGGGGTCAGGGGAGAAACAAAGGAAAAAGCCCCACCCAGCCTTCCACCCATCCCATGTCTCCGATGTGAGGCACGCTCCAAGGCTCCTTCTCAAGCAGTTTTGATAGTTCAACAGGCCTGAATTGTTGCCAATCTTGCCGTTCCAATTGCGATGAAATCTATTCAGAATCCACTGGCTGACATAGTCTCTTCTTGGTTGGGGTTCTGAGATCAGCAGTTCAGTTGGAGGGATCTCCAAAGAAATTTCATCTGAGATGATCCCAAACCTGATTCTTGTGTGAATTTACCAGTACAAGGTCTGGCACAGCCTGTCGCCTCAATCAGCTTATGCACATGCTGGTCATTGCACTTGCTGGGTCAGTTCTGTTTCCAGCCCTGTCATTCACTTGAACCAATGGATGTTGTAGTCTAGCTTGAACCTACCCACTTCATACTCGCTCCTCATACAAACCAGTGGGAACTGCAGCCTAG